ATTGTAAGTTCGCAAACATATCGTGGCGCTATTGGGGGGGTGGAGGAAATTCAGGAACTTAAAGCCTGTTTATTATTATGGATTATTAGCTAATATTTTGTGCTATTCTAATTGGTATAACATAAACAAAAAAGTAGTTTAATAAAATTTTGAATGGAAGACACTAAAATTTTGTGTCATGTGCACTAAAGGATACCCGTGGCAATAGGGTTAATAGACATGTCTTTCTATGTAAATCAGATTGCAAAATATTTATTGTGAGAAAATTAATAAATTATTAAAAAAAAAATTGTGTTGAGAACTTTTTATTATAATCATGTTACTGAAACTCTGTAAACACTTGATGGATAATTAAAAACTGAAACAGTAGTTTAAATTATTGTATGACATCGTCGTTTTAGGTCGATTTAAATATTAATGGTCAGGAAATGTATAGAGCTAATTAATTAGTGTTTTATACCAACTTTATTAATTATAGTCGTGTTGAGACATGTTGATCAATTTTATGCTTGTCCCATTTCGTGGAACTATTACGTCATCGTCCGTCATGGCGGCATAGCAACGCGCATTCTGGTGACATTTTGTGGAACCATGTTGACATTTCTCTCTGACGTCATGGTGGACTAGCAACACGCACTCTGGTGACACTTTGTGGAACTATGACGTCATCTCCCCTTCCCTCTCCTCCTCCCTGAGGAGGTAGCTAATCAGTGTATGTGTGTGTCTGAATTGGGACCCCAACTACTACTACAGATGTGATCTTTTATATCTGTTACTTGATGTATACATACTTTTTCCCATCTAAAACTTTCCGTTAGAAATCGCAATGAACCTGAATCTCCATCCATAAGTGAAGGTTTTCTTGAAATTGTTGAGTTTAATGCTCGCTAAAATCTATAAAAGTAATCCCCATGGAGACCCTGATTGTCTCACCTTTATCTCGAAATTAAATGATTCGAGTTAGTGCTGAGATTGTGCATGAAGCTGTTGTAAGTGACACTAAAAAGACAAAATATATTTATTCTTATACACAGCAGAATAACTACCAAAAACAGAACAAACTTTGTTGTTGTTAAATATGTCAATGCAAATGGAGAAATAATAAAATATTTACTAAATATGGTAGTGTCTTCTGATTAGTACACAGTAGGAAGTTTTAGTCAACTGCAGAATATTTTTCAATAGCATAATATTTCATTTAACAATCTACATAGTCAAAGATATGATGGTTGTTCTACTATATCTGCCTATTACACTGAAATACAAGAACGTGAAAAATTTGGCTCCAAAGGCTTTGCACATCTCTTTAATCTGATGGTTGTGGACACATGGTTGAAAAACAAAATGAAAAGGCATTTCTTTGAAGTAGTCCAAACTGGTTTTCATTTATTGAAAGTAGTTCAAAGTAACACGAGCCTTTCAAGGGCATTCAGCAGTAATTGCAACCTAAAGGAACTGACATACAGCAATCAATGAGTATAATATGCTGAAGAAACTGATCAGAAAATTGTACTGTACTTCTCAGTACAATTCCTGTTGTGAAGGCTACTTTATCATCCACTGTACATGATGGAAACTTCATCCCTCTTGTTAGCTTTAGACTAAATTTTGCCTCTGCCTAGTCATTATGGGTGAACTTTCTAAGTTATGTCATGTGGTTTCCAAATGTCTGCAATGAGAAGACATGAATATTGCAACAGAAATATTCCAAGTTCAAGTATTAGTTTCATAAATGGAAAACATGAGGAATGAAGGAATATTTAACCATAATTTTGCAACAGCTGAAAGCACAACAGACAGTATATTGTTGTTACTTGCTCAGAATCTGGCACTAGAAAGATTTCCTGTACATTGTATGCACATTTTAAAATTCAAGTCATGCTAAAAGACAAAGATCTGTATTGAGTCACATTATTTTACGTAGTATTAGATTTGATGTTGAATGCTCTGGAAATTCAAATTTTTAATTTTAGTGTCTCCACATACAGATAAAGTCCGAACTTTACAAGCCTTGGCCACTTTCTATGTAAGCATCATCAATTCTAAGCTTCTGGTTTCTGAATACAAACACTTTGCTTGATTAGTCGTAGAAGTCGTCCATCTTTCAAGATGAACTGAATTCGTCACATTTACAAGCATGTCGTAAATCACATGCTTTTAAACGTGAACTATCTCTAGCATTTGATTCTAATTCTACCAGTCACAGTTGGTCCTTGTGTGTGGTCCTTCACTATATTGAAGCTAATCAAGAGCAAGCTCTGTAGCACAATGGCAGATCAGTATCTCAGTGACTTGAAGGTTTTGCCATTTGAGTTACAACAAGTGAAGTCGATCAAGTAGAATGTTATTCATAAGCGTTTCTGGAAATAATTTTGCTGTTGATCGTTGATGAAGATATAGTTGCTCACTTGCCCTCGAATAATGTTTTCATTCTGTATACTGTATGCACACATGCTATATGTTGTACGTACTTTGTATTTTGTTACGTGTACTATATGTATGTAGTTTTGTGACCTATACATACATGTAAATACATGTATTCATTATAGTTTGGGCTACGTTATCATGTCTGCTTTCATTGTATGATTTAATACTTTTTTACACAAACATGCAACTGTTATATCTGCATAACTGTATATAATCTGGGAAATGCTGTGCCAATATCATCAATAAATATTATTAGTGATTTGGATCACTCCCATCCTCAGATTTCTGAGTGCCTGACGTACCTGGCTGAAAAGAGGTTACCTGTGGAAGACCTCGACTGCCGTCTGTACAGAGTGTAGTGTAAATAGTAATTGTAAATATATACGCATCTTTGTGTTTTTGCCTCTCTTTTCTTTTTTAAATTATCCTCAGTTTCCCATTTCGTTTTAGTACTATTGTGATTGTGTTTTAGTTTGTAAATTGTTTGTTTGTTGAATTTTGCTAAAGATACTCGATAGCAATCTGTACCTTAGAAGTGAAAGAATTAGAGGGACAACAACTAGACAAACACCACCCACAATCAACTCTTGGGATACTCTAATCGAATAGTGGGATTGACTGTCACATTATAATAGCAGAAAGAGTGAGCATGTTCGAGGATTATTTGAGTCAGCGACTCGCAGATTGCGATTCGACCGCCCTAACTACCAGGCCATGCCAGGTTCAAGTTCTGTAAATATTGTCAGTTTAGTTTATTTAATTTTTATATTTGTAAATGTTTTATCTTATTGAGATTTAATTAGTTTTAATTATTGTATTACTGTAAGCTTTATTTTTAATGTTTTAATTAGAATGTCTGCTAGAGGGTGTAGAATGTGATAGTCTTGAAAATTCTCGGAGTGACTAGAAGGCGTGTACTTTATGAATACGAGTAATAAGAAACAGTTAATGAAAGAGCAGTTAATGAGTTATTGAGTATTCAATGGGTGATTCTGTTCAGTGTTAATAGTAAGAGTTATCGCATCTATTCAGCAACACAGTTGATTATGGAGAAAATTCTGTATGCAAAATTATTTGTAAGTTGGTATACCATTAGTGTCGCAATTTCTATTCAAACGTTGTTTGTGAATTTAGACCTCCAATATGTGTTAAAGTGAACGTAGCCTGTAGCAAAACTTATTGAAGAAATAAATCAGTTCGTTGCTGTTAGTGGAATGTAACTGACATTATTTTTTCCAAATAATTCAAAAGAACCAACCCAAGGAAAGAACACAACGTAATACTATACCCAGTCCTACATTTTACCCATTCTGCTTCATGTTCAAATTATTTCGTTTCGTTCATTTTAGTCATTATGTTTTACCCCACCCCCCAGTGGCACAGCGGCATGTCTACGGACTTACAACGCTATAAACCGGGTTTCGATACCCGAGGTGGGTAAATCATTATGTTTTATTTTACTGCTGTTGTGGCTTTGTTTAATTTGGTACTTGGGTGTATTTTGTAGCTTTAGTCAATACTATTACTTAATTTTATACAGAATATTCAGTGGTTTTGATTTTGGATTATGTTTAGCTGTCTACTTATATAAGTGTGCACTGTGTTTAATTTACACTTTGTTCAATATATTTTGGTTCATTTTGTAACTTTCACCTAAATTCTGTCTTTTTCTTGAGTTAATTTTGAGTAATGTTCAGTTAACTATATTTGATTTAATTTTGTATTATATTTAATTGGTTTCACTTCAGTTTAATATAATGCTCAGTTTTTGTTTTATTTCATATGACGTTTTATCTTTATGCTTTTATTTAATTAATTATAAAGGTGTATTCCGGCAGTTTTATCTAAACTTTCGTGCATATATTCCACCAAATACAGAAACAATATTCAAATTTAGGTGATGTACAATGCTGAGCCCTAGCATAAAAAAACGTAGTATAGCAAGAGCAAGAACAACAAAAAAATAAATAAAAAACAAGACATAAACACTTTTGAACACATTACCCTTATCACCCCAGAAAAAAAAAGTGTACATTTAGGAGAATAATAAACTATTTTTTCTTCTGGAGACCGGTACTAGAAAAGTCATGAATAAAGTGTCCAAAATATGTTCAGTATTTTTGTTATGTTTGTCGCATGTGTCGTTCTTTTGACTGCGATCGAGGAATTCAATGGAAAACCGTCTGCTGGTGAATGCAATGAGTTGTTTTATTGGTTAATTATTGGAGTGATGGAGTAGTTAGTCGTTTTCGGGAAAGATTGCAGTGCTGTGTTTTGAAGCGCTTGCGGTATTGTATTTGTATGTTTATAAACAGTTGGTGATGAAGTAGATGTTAAAATGTGTTATGTTAGATTATGTTTGTCAGCAAAACAAATAAGTGAGTTGTGAGTGTTCTTGGTAGCCGAGGATATAACTTTTTTTCTTAAATGTAAAATATCAAACTGTACTTTCCGCATTTTTTACATTTTATTTTTAATCTATCCAAAGCTTAATAGTAACAGAAAATATGTAGTTCAAGTTTCAACGTTGAATTTCTTGCAGCAGCCTGTTAAACTTGTACTTAAAAAAACAGTAAGTTGATTTAATAAGAAAACATTTTGATAACTTAGGCTTATCATTTTGAAGATTTATTTGTCTATGCTGTTTTTTATTTTAGCTCTCATTTGGCACCAGTGCTTAGACTTATTGAGTTATTTACTAATTTAGTACTTTTGACAAAAATTTTGTCAGCAGGAATGCGAAAGTAAATTTTAAAGTAATAAGAAAAAAGATTAGTACTAGTAGTAATGTTGTTTTAGGTTAGGCTATGGTCTAGAAATACAAACAGAACTTGCAAATTCAGTTGTTGTGGCAAATGAATTTATGCTTTGTGTTGTGGAGTTGTGTGGTTTAAATTTTAATTTGCAACAAATAATGATAATTAGAAAATTGTAGACTGACCATTAATCCCAAACAAATAAAGGTTATGATATTCTGCAAAAATTAACCCACTTTCTTTCACATTGGACATTTAATTTACTTACATGGGCATTGAGTCTCAAAAATGGTATGTTTTACCCACCCATTTGAGATTGGAAATTTACATTGGTGATATGTTGAATGCAGAATTTAAACATTGTGAAGTTACATTTTAGAATAAATCTTAACCATGATAAAAGCAAAAGTTTGTTTTATGAGGCAAAATTCTCAAGTGCATATAAGTGACAGTAGATGTAATTTTTCTATTAAACTGTATTAAGTTACATGTGATGTAGAACCACATTTGTTATGTTCTCCTATTGTTGCCATTCCAAGTCATATTCCAATGTGCTCTGTATACGCAACTTTAGCAAACCATGTGAAGAAGGGTTTAGGTCCAAAATGTTAAGTGAAATTAAAGTGTCCTAGTTTTTATTAGCATTATATCTGGTGTTTGTATTTCTTCAAACATTGTCTGAATATCTTTTGTTTTTATTTTGCTTTGTGTGTTTGTATTAAGATACTATAGTGCAAAGATTTTGCTTAAATAATAACTTCATTACTTTAATCATGCTGTTTTATGTGAAATTCTGAATAGTGAGGAAATAATGCACACTAGGAGAAAGAAAATGAATTTCTGTGTGAGAAGTGAAACTACAAATAGATAAACTTTTAATTAAAAGTCTCATCTGTACATGTTAGAGAATAGAACAAGCAGTATACAGAAAAAAAGGAACTGTGTGTATTTAAGTTAAGGCAAATAAACTGTTTCCTCAAACCATGGATCCTCCAGGGATATGCCCATATTCCTTAATACTAAATGTTCTTCAGGTATTTTCTCTTGTTCTGCATCTTTAAAGCTTTCATTCTCATGTTTTTGAATAATAAGCCTTTCTATTCACATCCAAGCACTTGTTCTATTTAAAACTTTTGACAACCCAAAAAACAAGGTGATTGCTGACCATTCAGGTCATTCCTGATCCTCAAACAACATATACCAAACACAAATTAATGATAAATTTTTTTATCTATCTACTTATCAAAGAAACTTAAAAGTACGCAGACTGTAAATACACATCCCATCACTGGGCAAATATTCCATGTAGTGAAAATTTGTAATAGAAAAACATCTTACTTAAGAATTTTTAGTATAGTTTTCCAAAGCTTATACATATGAAATCAAGTCACTAGTATCAACTGTGTCTGTTAACAAAGAAATCTACTTCTCACATATAGTCTGTTCTAACCCTGAGAATTTTGAATGTAATAGATTACTCCTAGTTTGTTTTTTCCATTGCTCTTGCAACAGCAAGATCAACTATCTAAATGTCTCTTCACAGGCCAAATATTTTAAATTAGCATTATGGAAGAAAAGGATCTTGGTGTTCTGCTTGATCAATCTACTAAGCCTTCCAAGAAGTGTGTTGTTGGCAATGGTAGGGCATTTAAGATTTTAGATTGTATCTACAGAAATATTGAATAGAAACGTAAAGAGGCTATGATTTCATTGTATAGGTCACTGGTTAGGCCTCATTTAGAGTGTTCAGTCTTGGGCTCCATACCTTTGGAAGGACATTGAATTGTTGGAAAGGGTTCAGAGAAGGGCTGCTAGGATGATATCTGGGATTGAAAGGTTGTCATACAAGAACAGTTCATTATCTCTAAAATTATTTTCTCCTGAAAAAAAGAGTTAGGAGGGATCTGATTGAATGATTAAGATTGTTAAGAGAATTAAAAGTGTTGATGCAGCATCTGTTTTCATACTTAATGGTGAGAATGGTAGGGTGAGAGAACACAAGCATTAATTTTGGCAGGGTAGGGGTCATCTTCAGCTAATACAGTTTTACTTTTCTAGCAGGGTGGTTTGTCTTTGAAATGGGTTGCCTTCAAATGTGATGGATGTCATAAATTTAAGGGAAGGCTTAAATATTTAACGATAAGGGACAACTTTGAGATTCTTTTTTTTTATTTGTAACTTTTAATAACCTGAACTCAGGTTAAAGTATGTGATTAAGATCATTATACAAGAATGTGGGGAAAAATGTGGTATGAAATTGTAATGTTTTGCATGGTATTACTGACCCAGTTTAAATTACCTGACACTGTACCACTCATGCTTCAAGGGAAAAGAGATATGACATATGTAGAAAGGGGGTTTATATTTACATACAAGAACAAAATGAATTTGTATACAGTGAATGGCTGCAATGCAATGCTATGACTATTATCAATTTTATTCAGTTGATAACATTTCAGGGCAACATACGATATGTCAAAAGCTTTTATCCCAACACATTAACACACACTTTTGCAGTCCTTCTTCCACCCATAGTCTAATGCAAAAATTAGTTTTTAAATTTAACTGAATGACAGCTACGTATATTTATTTATGATTTTAAGAATGCTAGTTTTAATGGAAAAGAAAGAGAGTAGTTTTAAGGTTAAAATTAATTATGAAGAAATTTCCTTTTTTTAAATAGCTCATTGGATTGTTTTGTAAAGATTTTCTTTAACTCAGTGGGTAGTTATTAACTGATAAACTGTAATCAATATATTTTTGGTTCGAGGCTAGATGAGTAGCATTATATATTTTATGTGTTTACTGATAGTATATCCATGTATGTGGTTGTGTCACTTCTAGGGAAGGTGCAAGTTGTTTATTCTTATACATGGACTTTACAGTGCTCTGTAGGTGAAAATTATTTATGTAACTATGATGAAGTAATTGTATTAGTTCACATTTTGGAAGTTATACTTATGTGGTGCTTCTAAAAGTAAAGATAACATATCATGCAATATGAAAATAATCATAAGAAAAAATGTGCTAAATTTACTCACTATTTTGACTTACAGCTTCATGAGTACTCTTTTACATATTCTCAAACTTATCTGTTCATTTTGGAAGGTCATTTACTCCATGTACTTGAATAATTTATAACTAGACATTATGGTCTATGGCAAGAAAAAATACCAGACTCAGTAAGATCTGGCAATATCAGTTTGGTCTGAAGAAGATAATTTTCAGAATTTAATTTTGTTTGGTGGTAAAACAAAATGTTCCTTTATGGCCGAGATTGTCAGTTTTTAATTGACTGTTGTTACATGCCACCTGACTATGCATGTGATTTCAGTGAGAAATTACGTAATGAAATCAGTTTTAATTAATAAAAATACTAGTTCAATACTTATGGGAGATTAATTTTAGATACATTGACTGGGATTTTATGGAGTTAAGTAATGAGGGAGAAAGGTATCTTGAAGTGATTCATGGTAATTTTCTGTACCAAATGTTCAGATAGTCAACCAAGGAGATGCAGTTTTAGAATTATTGTCATCTGCTAGTGAGGATGTAGAAAACTAAAGGAAAGCTGAGGATGTGATTAAAAGACATTAGGAAATCCAAAAGGGCTTATGTGAAACAGCTGGCTGATAACGTTAATTAACATCAAGGTTATTTTTTAAGTATGTATAAGGATAGTAAAATGTTAAAATGGGGATTTGTTTATTAAAAGTTGCTTGTAGTGAGGTTTTTGCTGAGACGTAAGAAATGATTGAGCTTTTAAATATTCTCTTCTATTTTTACAAAAGAAGATGTTGACAATATTCCTGACCCTGAGCATTCTAATTGGAAAATGCTGTTATTGATCTGAATATCTTGGTAAAAACAAATGATTAAGAGATTAAAATTTGATAAAGTGCTGAGACGACATTTTCCCCAGGATTTTAAAGGAGGTCAGAGACCTATGTGAGTACCTCTTTGACATTTTAAGTAGGTCAGTAAACAATGGGCAAGTTGCTTGAGGATACAGAGAATTGCTGATGTTATTCCTATTTTTAAAGAGGATGATAAGAGTTGCCCTGTAAATTATAGACAAGTTAGTCATACCTCTGTAGTGGGATATATTCTAGAGTCTGATAGAGAAGCTTTACAAAACCATCTTGTGAAATATAAAAGAATAGTCAAAATAGATTCACTAACTGAATATAAGTGTATGTTATGCATTCTTTGTATGATGGAAACAGTATGGACTTGGTATACTTAAATTTTCAAAAATATTTTGATAAGCTGCTACACAAAAATAAGCTCAGAAAGTTTCATGAGTGAGTGTTGGAAAAAGATTAGTAAATTGGATTGTATGCTGGCTGGATGACTAAGATAAAAAAGTTATTAATGGAGTCCATTCAAACTGGAACCATGTTGTTATTGGAGTATTTCAAGAGAGGTCAGTGATTGAGTCTTTGCTTTTCCTTTTGGACATTTGTCATATATAATAATTAAATTAGCAAAGTTTTCTGATGACATTAAACTCTTGGGTATTTCTATCTGTATTGAGGATGTTAAGGTATTAAAGAATGACTTGGTTAGTTGATTTGACAAATGGCTTTTAATTTTTGTAAGAGCAAGATATTGTACTTGGGTCATAATTCAGATCTCACATTTAAAATAGATGAGACTCTGATTATCGTGAGTGCAGAAGAGTATCTGGGCAACATGGTGGATAAATCACTCAAACCATTGAGGCAGTGCTGTGTTACTAGTAACAAAGCTAACAGAATTTAAGGTGTATTTATAGATCATAATGCAAAAGAGGTAATTATGTCTCTGTACAAGTTGGGATTTAGTTCTCTCTTCGAATAAGGATTTGGTCTTCTAATGTGAGAAACATATTGCTATAAGATATGTTTTTATTATTTTAATTTATACATTTTGTATTGAGGGAGTTTTTAGTATGTCATAATGATGATCTGTTGTCTAGAAGCTTTATGAATGTCTAAATTTGACATTTAATAAGGGAAATAAATAATTTTCTTAAAATCAAATAAAGGATAGCTTTAACACATTTTTTTTCTCTTAAGAATGGGTGAAAGTGCAAGGAAAGTCTTGAAGGACCAAATAGTCCCTTGTTGATTGTAAATTATGTTATGTAACTGAAAGTGAAAATTGTGAAAAATATTAAGAGCATGATTAATAGATGAGAGAGTTACAGTTTTGTAAAAAAAAAGTGTTTAGGCAGAAACAAGCTGATTAGTTTGCCAACCAGGGATGTTAGTCTGGAAGATAATAAAATTGGTCTCCTCGACTGTGTCATAGAAAAATAAAATTAGACATGGTTACAAATAATTAATACACTGTTGATTTGTTTGTTGTTGAAACATAGAACCTAATGATAGAGAATGGTTGGTTTCTATAAATGAAGAACTAACAATTAACACACTTCTTTGTTAGCAGGTTAGATGTTAATGTCTTTTGTGCTGCATAAAATTGAACAGACACTGTGTTTAATACAGTCCTTCACATTTGAAAAATGCATGGGGGCTGTTAGCGGGCTGATGTCATATTTCAATTCTTTGTTTATAAAATTGGACAGTAAAAGTTAAATTGTAGTGACTGAATTGTACTGTTTTTCTGTCAACAAAACATAATTTTATTGAATAGAGTTATTTAAACACTTGTTTAACAACAAGTAAAAGCTTGGAATGGTCTATTCTTTCATTGCGGGTGTGTCTGTGCGCCAGACTAGTTTCGGATAATTTTTTGTGAGTGTGAAACACTTAAATACACCATTTCGAAAACAAAATTTTGCTAGCTAAACTAAGACATGTTCACAGCATGCCACTGAACTATGACAACCTCCAATCAATATAGCAGCTCTTGTAGTTCGTGAAATGCAGTTAGGTCATGTTCAAATTTGCTGAAACTTTTCTTAAGATTCTGAATTTGCTGATAATTAATATATAATTTTGTAATTTAAACTTTAAAACTGTTGCTTAGTTTTTTTAATTACAGATATTAATGTCTATATACAACAACATAGCTCAAAATGTTATATTACTGTTAATGTAATATCACTAGTCTAGGTCAATTAAAATTAAAGTATGAGAGTCATAGCAACCAACAGGGTCACACAAAGTTATCTGTGAGCTTGGCTGTATATACAAAAAACAGTTGATTGCATGGCCAATGCCATGAAAAATAATAACAGGATTTGAATTTAAAAGTATTTACTTCTTGTTAAGAATAAAAGGACCAGTAGTGGACCCAAAACATCAGGTATTATGATAGGATTGAAAGGGGCTCTAATAAGCCCTTGTAAAACTCATTTTACAGATGCTTTTGACCACCCACCAAACATGAAGGATATGCCAATAACAGTTTTTGTTTTTTTCTAGCAGGGTAGATGACAGGGTAGATGCATAAGTTTGTACTAATCAAAACTGGTGAAAAGCAAACTGCCCCAATTGGAGATTCAACTTAGCACCCTTGAATTACACTAGTACTTTGAAAATGATGCTTTTACCATTTAAGCTACTAGAGCTGATATCTCTCCATGCTGACTATTACAATTTTAAAATGTATCTTCTTTAAAGGCAGGCATTTTTACCATAGGTAGTTAAATATTAGTATATTCTGTGCTGTGTGAAGTTGTTGTAAATAACTTGTGTGATAACATTTTGCTTTTTCAGTAGGCTAAATGAGATTATATTCTGTGATGCATAAAGTTTTATTGGATATTTTGTTTGTTAGTTGATAGGTTCCTGTGAAGTTTAACCTCTAAATGTATCTGCTCTTAAAATTTCTGTAGTATATAAAATTGGTAAGATACTTATATACAACTGTAGAAGAGAGAATGGATTAAGTATTATAACCATTAGCCCAGAAGGTATGAATGTAACAAGAGGTTAAGCCACCTGTACATTTTCATTGAGATGGATGAAAGAATATTAATTTTGTTATTGTTACTTTCTTAACTTGCACTTTTTTTGTATGTTTTTCAAAGTATTTTTAAGCTTAATTGGATTACAATAGCTCTGCCTTTCAACAAACTAGAACTAGAAGAGTTACCATGGGATACAAAGATGGGACTAAATTATGGCAAAGTATTTTAGGTTGGATTTGTACTTTTCAGGTTATCCACTAGAACACATTGGTTACTGTACAGTCAATATCTGAAGCTTCAAGAAAAGTTGAGGAGTAAGCTTGTTGACACACAATGGTGCTTTGTGCATTTATACTATAAGTTCTGCCAAATCATTAGTTTTACTCTAACTAGAAAGTTTCTTTCATTTTTTCAGTACACTGTTTCTCTCTTAATCAATCTTCCAATTTATCACCCTTTGCATAATACACGCATTATTTTTTTCCCTTTTTTTGTGTCTTGGTAACGGTTGGTTGATTGAAGCATTGACTTGTTCCCTTTCACAATATGACTTTGACCATTTTAGTGTCTTACAAAAAACATTGAATAAGTTTATAACAAAATTTTTTAAAATATTAATCCCAATAAAATATTTTCCAGATAAAATATGTTTTTGTCATTGTTTTAGCAATTTAAATTATGTACATGTGTTTTAATTGTATTAAAATACACATCTGAGTGTAAAGTGAGTATGTTACGTATAAACTTACTTAATTATTGAATAATGCATATATTTATTATTATTTAATTATGTAGGTGAAATTATACTGTAGGCCTATGAAACGAAACGTAGATGCTTCCAACTATCTGCGATCTTGGATTTTTTTGAAGGACCTTGTATGATATGTGCTTTTTCTAGCAAAATAGTTATGAAAATTTAGATTGGAAGTTAAATATTTGGTTGTTAAACCAGTGGTGTTAGTTTGATATGTGGTAAAAAAGTAGACCATGGTGAAGACATTCCAGGCTTATTTACCCAACTGTCATCGTACATACAGTTGTATCCACTGCAGGGCTCACCTAGCCAATCACGATGAGCTGATCTCAAAGGTATGTTACCACTGTCCAGACTTTAGATCATGTGTGTATAGTACCTATAACATAACACATGAACAACAAAGTTGTCTTAGTACACCCAACCTTGAGAAAAGTAAAAATCTAAATGCAACCTTTATTTTTCAGGAAATTATACACTAAACTCTTGTAAAGAGCTGGCCTCCACAACTTATGACGATATCTCATTTCATAGGTCAGTCACCTTGAGAGAAAAATACAACTGTCTTTAACTGCAATCTAGCTTGTCTTTTCCAAATATTAAATTTTTGTCTTCTTGTCCTATTATTTTCAGAATATACAATAGAACAAAGGCATAGAGAACGTTATATTTTTGACCTTCTGGATAATCATATAAACTTCTATAAAATTAACCTTTACCTTGCTTTTCTCAAGAGGAAAGAAATCTTAACCTATCTCTGTAATATAACCTTAAATCTTTTTACTGACATGTATCAGACAAAATTAAGTTTAAAACACAAATGATTAAAACAGTTTTCTTAAAACCAAAGGTTAAAAACCCGCCATACATTTTTACACAGTGTAGTAGCCACTGAGGAAGACACTGGACTGTTTCAAAATGTATGTCAGGAAAAAAACATTGTTAATGTTATTTACTCAGACTTTTTAACTCATCCTATATGCTGTAATATAACTCTTATATCACAGGAATCATCCTAGAAGCACTCCTCTGGAAACCTTCCAACAAGTTAATTTTCTTTCTTAGAGAAAGAGACCAAAACTGTGTACAGTATTCCAAGTTAGGCCAACTAGTTATTTGTTTAAAGAGATAATAATCTTTTATGACTTGTAATCAGTGTCTATAATCATAAAATGTAAGGACAACAAGGGACCTGTTAGACTATCTAGGCCATCACAACCATGAAACTAAACTTAAAAAAATAAAAGCCAGTCCTCGTCACTCAAATATTTATGAACTATTCTCTTAAACTTCTTTAAATTCAATGCATCCATCACACCTCAAGAAACCCATTCCAAAGGCTAACTTCCCTGTTAGAAAAGTAAAACTGTTTTAACTGAAGATGACTCTTACCCTGCCAAAATTTATATTTTTGTCCTTTACTCTTATTATTCTCACCATTAAGTATGGAAAAAGTGACTCACCAACAGTTTCAATTCTTTTAACAATCTTAAATACCTCAATCAGATCCCCTTTAATTCTTTCTTTAAAGAGAAAACAACTTCAGAGATCTTAAGCCCGTTCTCATGTGACAACGCTTCCATCCAGGTATCATCCTAGTAGCCTCTGAACCCTTTCTAACTATTCAACTTTTCTTCTGTAAACTTCAGGCCTACAACAAACATAAAAAGAATATTCTAAAAAATGTTGAACAAACCATGTTTACTTACATCAGATGTACGAGATAAAGTTTAATAAGAATTGAGAGTAATGATGACTAGGTTAAAACTTTTTGTTTTGGTTAAAATTTTTAGTAAGTTTAGAATATGAATATTGAAAAATAAAAAATGCATATCTAAAATATAAATGAACGAACTTATGAATGGAGACTTTGGACATTTGAAATCCAGAGTTCTAATTTACCCAAGACATACATAAACTAAATGGAATTACAAGATGGCTATAAAAAAAAATTGCTTTGAGTGTTCATAATAGTTTTAACTTAATACGACAGCTCTTGATAAACTTGTTTATACATCAGAATCCAGAATATTTTCATTTTAAAAACGTTTAACCATTTTGGGCTTGAGAATAAAAAGTATTGCTTCTCCAGACATAATAGAAACCTGCTTGGAGGATATGCACACAATCATTAGAAAATAGCTAATGCAATAATTACAAGTTTAAACAATGTGTAATTTAATGGTTAAGTATGATGAATTATATTTCATGTTCTGATAATAGGGAATTTTTGGATGTAGGCTTTAGTAACTTCTTCAGTCATTATGTTTAAACATGAACCTCTTTTTGTCAAAACAGTAAACTGAATTAAACTGTGATTTTTCTCTGTAGTCCTTCCAAGGGAGCCAGGGTCGAGCTTACCTCTTCAATTCTGTGTAAGTGTCACTCATAAACAAGTAAGGATGAAATAGATAATTTTTTTAAATGAAAATGTAACAATTTTTTCACTGTGAAACTATATTTGTCAATATTAACAAGTGTAAGAAAGCTTATATAGAAAGTACTTCATATTATTTCTTTCATGATTGAAATAAATAATTCTAAATATCTTGTACAAAAGCATTATACATGAGTTAAAAAATGTGTTATTATGTTACTTTGAAAACTACAGGGTCTTAAAAGTGTAGCTAAATAACTGTAAGAATACAAAATGTAGCTGATGTGTCAGTCTCTTTGGGACTTGATATCAGTGATAGTGGCCATGGCCAAAATGCTTACCACATTTTTCCTATGTCTCATTTAAGTATTTTTATATTTGTAGCTGTTAAAATACATATGGACATAGGGTTGAGTACATCATAATGATATTATTTTGGAGCACCACGATGTTGTTTCAGTCCATGTCACTACATTCAGTCACTCTCTATCCGAATCCTGATAATAGGCCTAATGTATAGTTTACATTGCAAAAGGCTCTGTCATAAATATGCCATGTTCAGAGCACACCACTCTTGTAGCTTTTCATAATCCATCTAGTATATGAGGATGACAGTTTACCAGTGCCTGTTTCAACAGTTTGATCCAACATAAATTCATAGGCACTGCATGCAGTGACTTAACTGGTGTGTCTTTGTATCAAATAGCACGAGTACCCATTTCTTTTTCCAGCTGCATGATGTATGTGCTGGTTGAATAAGAGGTTTGACTGGAAGTCTTATCTTGGTGAACCCATACCCTATTGGTGCTTTTTTTTCACATTTTCCTTAATTTTTCCAGTGTGGCTTGAAATCAGTGTTATGTGTGAAATTGCATTTTAGATCTATCTTTTGTCTTCCACAAGTCACTACCCAATAAGCTTTTTGTTCAGTACTGGAACTTGCATGACTTACTGATTTGCATGTTTAAAATTGTTTTAATATAAGTAACTCAACAATGTGATAGCTGTAATTGCTTTTTGCAATTCCTTCTCCACATAAATATTTCTGATTTTGTTTTTGAATAATATTGAAACTTTATAAGTTAAAGAGTTTCAAAGTTCATGAAGTAATGTAAAATTTTACTTGTAAATAATTTTATATTGTAATAAACTTCAGAATAAAATGATATATTTTAAAAATGTTTTAACTCAAAAGACTCACCTGTTTATATCAGAATTAACTATTGTTTTTTATTAGATATGTATTTAAAGAATTTGAACATATGGCTTTGATATACAAATAGCACGAGACAAAAATTTCTATTGTACGTATTCATAAATGTATACAAAATATTTCTGTTTATCAAAATCATTTCTACCATAGAAAAAGAGTTGTTACTTCTATTAGTACTGCTTATGAATTCATGTTGCCAGTGGAGTACAATCTGAGCTGATATTCCCACTTTGTTATTACTGGGAGTTGATCTTTTATTTATGCTTACTTCCCAATGTTGAACAGGAACTTAACCAATTTGAAACATACCACACAGCTAAACCTAAACTTAAAGAAAAGTATATGGAAAACATTATCATGATCATCATAGTTGATTTTCTGTAAAAGAGTGTGCATGATAAAAAGAAATTAGACTGAGACCATGATAATCTCATAGTCAGATATTTATATAAGAAATCATGTTTATTTTTAATGAAAAAATTCAAAGAACAATCAAAAATCTTTACTTCTATTACTTCCAGTATAATTTATGCCAAAGCATGTTTTATGAAATCAAAGATGTTTACATAATTCATTATAAAAATATGTTTTTAATAAAATACTTTGAATATTCAGTGGTCATAAAGGATACAGAAAATACTTGGCATTGAAAGAAAAAAACTTACAATGCTGATCAGTCCAAATTTAGACTGATGACATAAGCTTGTCATACCCTAAGGAACTCTGAGGCACTTTTATATAATTATATGCTTTCATAAGGTTTGTAAATAAACCATTTCTGTTAATTCCTTTGGTGAAAATTAGTATCATTAGAAACTTTGACTCTTAATTTTCTTTTATACTGCAAAGTTCAGTTAGCTTATATAAATATTTCATGATTTATTTCACTATGAAATTTATTACACCTGTATTATTTATAATCTAGCACCAAGAATTGGCTATAAAGACAAATACATGGTTGCTCTTTCAGCTGTGGGGCATTGTAATGTCATGGTCAATCCCACTATTCATGGGTAAAAAAGTAGCCCAAGAGTTGGTGGTGAGTGGTGTTAACCAGCTGCCTTCCCTCTGGGCTATCACTCCTAAATTAGGAAAAGCTAGTATAGATAGCCATTGTATAGCTTTATGTGAAATTCAAAATAAGCCAAACAACAATGACAAATTCTTAATGGCT